CGGAGCACTGGTGGCTCACACCTGTAATCCTAGCTACTCAGGAGGCTGAGATCTGAGGATCTCAGTTCAAAGCCAGCCCAGTCAGGAAAGCCCAGGAGACTCTTTTTTTTGGGGGGGGGGGTCTGGTCGTGGGGCCTGAACTCTGGGCCTGGGTGCTGTCCCTCAGCTCTTCAGCTCAAGGCTAGCGCTCTACCACTTGAGCCACAGTGCCACTTCCGGCTTTTTTCTTTTTGCTTATGTGGTGCTGAGGAATCGAACCCAGGGCCTCATGCATGCAAGGCAAGCACTCTACCACTGAGCCACCTTACCAGCCCCCTCAGGAGACTCTTATCTCTAATAAACCACTCAGAAAACTGGAAGTGGTACTGTGGCTCACATGGTAGAGCACACCTTGAGCTGAAGAGCTGAGGGAGAGTGCCCAGGCCCAGAGTTCAAGCCCAACAACCAACCAAAATTAACAAAAAACGAAATCTAATCTGTATATGAAATGTACCTTTCCTACTGTGTAAAAGGCACTTGAATTTACCTGACTAGTATTTGCTGCCCTCTAGTATTATTTCTCAATGCATGGCAGGCTCAGTGTTTGTCACAGTCACTGTATGCAGCAATGCTGGAGGAGAAACGAGAGAAGGCATTTTCTTCATAGCTGTCCCTCTCTTTTCCCCAAGTCTAGTCTCCAAGGCCCCAGGCTGGCCCTGGCATAAGACACACACACACAATGGGCCTCTCTAAGCAGCAGACAGAGGCGCGTTGGCTGCCAGCTTGTGCACAGGCTCTTGTCAAACAGGCACAGAACACTTGTATAAAGCCCTGCACTAGCTGAGGAAAAGTTTCAGGAGACAGAATAGGGCCGCAGAAGCCTAGCTGAGCCCTCAACTTAGATCAGAGAAAGACGGCTCTGAAAGTTTACCGGAGTTTACAGGTGACACCTTTCTTCTGGGACATTTTAGGGATTCTTTACCCACTAAACCCCAAGTCCCAGAAAAGAAGCTCAGCTATCTTACAAGTTCAGATCCAAAGGACAGGCCAGTTTCCTTAGCTCCTTGGAGGCAGTCTTGGGAGTGGTTTGGGGGTGGGGAGGTTCTAAACAATGTGGTTAGCCCAGTGGCTCTGGGGGTTGGGGGGAGGTGGGAAATCTAGGCTCTGAGAGGCTCCCAAGAACCCTGGCTCCAGACTCGAGCAACTACCATACTCTGACCTTCTCCACAAACTCCCAGTCTCAAGAACAAGCACAGTCCAGTATCCTCTTATCCTCCAGGCTTCTTAGAAATTCTTGAGCCAAGGGCTGGGAAGGTGGCTCAGTGGTAGAATGCTTGCCTTGCATGCATGAGGCCCTGGGTTTGATTCCACAGCACCACATACACAGAAAAAGCCAGAAGTGGTGCTGTAGTTCAAGCAATAGAGCACTAGCCTTGAGCTGAAGAGCTGAGGGACAGCACCTAGGCCCAGAGTTCAGGACCCATGACTGAAAAAAAAAAGTCTGAGAACATAAGAGTTAGAGACCCTCTCCTGAGATGGGACACTTGTCCCTTCTCTCTGCTGCTTCTGTGACAAGCATTGTTAATCGATTCTAGTTTCTCTCTGCTGCACCCACACTAGGCCCCCCAGTCCTTCAAATATGGAACTCAAAGAAGCCACCAGTGGAGCTTCAATGACACCTATCAGTCATCTCTGATTTAGTCTAATCTCAACCAGGAGGGCAACTGGGGCATCAAAAACACAAGGGTCTTGCCCAAAGTGATAATGATTTATCACAGAGCAAATTGGAGGTTAGGAACTGATATTAAAACATTGCTTATAAAGGAAAGTTTTGGTGTTTTACCCCTTCCTCCTCCAGATAGTGAGGCCATCCAGGAGGGGCTTGAGTCTGGTTTAGCTTCTAACCTCACTGTTCTCTACACTAGGTATGAAGTAGGTGTCTAAAAATATTTATTGGGGGGCTGGGAAGGTGGCTCAGTGGTAAAGCGCTTGCCTTGCATGCCTGAGGCCCTGGGTTCGATTCCGCAGCACCACATAAGCAAAAAGAAGCCGGGAGTGGTGCTGTGGCTCAAGTGGTAGAGCACTAGCCTCGAGCTGAAGAGCTGAAGGACAGTGCCCAGGCCCAGAGTTCAGGCCCCACAACCGGACCCAAAAAAATACATATATATATATATATATTTATTGGTGGATTGGGGAAGGAACAGAGTACATCAACTAGAGGGAAGGACTGGATATAAGTTCCTAATGTCAAGAGATGCTTCAACTACCTGGCTTGGTAGTACATGTCTATAATCCTGGAACTTAGGAGGCTAAAGCAGAAGGATTTGAGTTTGGCAAGTTCAAAGCAAGCCTGGGCCATATGAAGATATCCTATTTCAAATAAATGAATGAATAAATTTCTAAAAACAGTGAAGAAGAGAAAAGAGAGTTGTTTTGGTGTCAAACATTCAGAGAAAGGCTGGACAGGGTGGTATAAGCCTGTAATCCCAGCTACTTGAGAGGCAGAGATATGAAGATTGTGGCCTGGCCTGAGTCCCTATCTAAAAAACAACCTAGGGTGACACTGTCCAAAAAGAAATGTGCTCTTGTCAGAAGCTGATGGCTTATGCTTGTAATCCTAGCCACTCAGAAGGCTGAGATCTGAGGATCGGTTTGAAACCAGCCAAGGCAGGAAAAGTCCATGAGACTCATCTCCAATGAACCACCAAAAAAACCTAAAGTGGTGGCTCAAAGTAGTAGTCTGCCTTGAGTGAAAGAGCTCAGGGACAGCACCCAGGCCCTGAGTTCAAACCCTACAACTGACAAAGAAAAAAAGAAAGAAAAAAAGATGGAGGGAACTGAAGATGTAGCTCAGTAGTGTACTGATTGCCTGGCAGGTAGGAGGTCCTAGGTTTGATTTCCAGTAATACAAGGGGAAAAAAAATGAAAACTCTGTTTATGCGCATGTGTGTTTTCATGTGTATGTGTGTATGCATGTGCAAGAGAGAAAGAGTGAAAAAGAGAGAGAAAGAGATTTAGGCTACTAAAGACTGATACTCTAAAGTCAACCTTTTTCTTCTTTTTTGTGGGTTGTGGGGCTTGAACTCTGGGCCTGGCACTGTACCTCAGCTCTTCAGCTCAAGGCTAGCACTCTACCACTTGAGCCACAGCGCCACTTCTGGTTTTCTGAGTGGTTTATTAGAGATAAGAAGCTCACGAACTGTCTTGCCTGAGCTGGCTTTGAACCTCAATCCTCAGATCTCAGCCTCCTGAGTAGCTAGGATTACAGCATGAAGCCACTGACGCCTGGCATATGTCAAGAAAAAGGAAATGTATCAGTAGCATTTTCAGGCACACCTAAAATGTAAAAAATAAAGTAAAACAAAATTTAGTGGGGCTTGAGATCTGCAGTCACAGGATGCCAAAGGTCACCCAGGGATCTACAGCCTATTTGCTTCTATGGCCTCTTGGATATCCTTGTGGGGAAATCACCTAGCAGGCTTGGGCCTGGGACTCAGCTCAGTAGCTTTGCTGGCCTTGATATTCTCTATTAGCCCCAGCCACCTCCGTGGGCCCATTCTGGGCAATGAACCAAAGGCACATTCCTCAGGCCCCTATGGCTTCCGGAGCTGACAGAATAGAGTTTGAAGAACGGGCTGAGCTAAGCAAAAACCTCCTGAGAGAGATGGCAAAAGGCAGTTAGGGGACAACCCTAGCAAGAGGCCTATCATAACCAAGGAGGAAACTGTGGCTCAGAGAAGGTGACACTCAGTGAAGACACAGATGAGACTCGAGGAGCACAGTGAAAGCACTGGGGAGAAAGTCACCCAACCAATATTCCCCAAAGCTCTCATCTTTAGGAAGGATGTGGTGCCTCACAACTATACTCTCAGCTACTATAAGAAGGTATATACTTGAAAGATTGTGGTCTGAGGTCAGGTCAGGCAAAAGTTAGCAGGCTGTGGGGCTTGGAATATGGCTTAGTGGTAGAGTACTTGCCTAGCATGCATGAAGCTCTGGATTCAATTCCTCAGTACCACATAAACATAAAAAGCCAGAAGTGGTGCTATGGCTCAAATTGTAGAGTGCTAGCCTTGAGTTTAAGCTCCAGGGCTGGCAAAAAAGTTAGTAGGCTGAGCATGACAGACCATGTCTACTTTCAGGTACATGATATGCAAGTATCTGAGAAAGAGCTCTGTCCAAGATCAGTCCCGGAGAAAAAAATATAAGACCCTATCTGAAAAAAAATTGGCACTGGGCACTGGTTGCTCACATCTGTAATCCTAGCTCCTCGGGAGCCTGAGATCCGTGAATCACAGTTCAAAGCCAGCCCAGGCAAGAAAGTCCATGAGACTCCAATTAACCACCAGAAAAGCAGAAGTGGTGCTGTGGCTCAAAGTGGAAGAGTGCTAGTCTTGAGTGAAAAAGCTCAGGGACGGCACAAAGTGCCTGAGTTCAAACCCCACAATCAACAACAACAAAAAAAAAAAAAAAAAACTTGGAAGAAAAAGGGATGAGGGTGTGGCTCAAGTGCCTGCTTAAGTTTGAGAATCTGAGTTCAAACCCCAGTACTGCAAAACAAAAAGGAAAACAAATCCATCTCTCTTCCTTAGTGGAAAGATGTTTTGCTATGTACTGACCAAATTTCTCCCAAATGAGGGTAATCTAGGGGTATTCGTGCCCTTAGGAGCTAGAAGAACCTTCCAGCCTCTCCTCCTTCCCTGAACCCCTCACTGGATGGCTCATTCTGCCTGGGACCTTTAGTCCCCATCTTATCAACCCAGGACAGGAACAACACGGCCATTCTGCAGGTGAGGAAATGAAGACTCAGGGAAAATGAAGTGCTTGCCTCATGTCACATTGCCAATACGTGGGAGACACAAAATGCAAACAAGATCTGCTTAGGTCTGTGCCAGCCTCTCTTCACCACTCCCTGCTGATTCCAGATAGGGTTTTGAACGCTGCCTACCTCCTATCCCTCAAGGCTGGGGCCATTTGAGGCCAGGAGGAGACGGGCCGACCCTCTGGGCCACAGTACTTACCCTCCAGCACCACCTCCTTGCCTGTCTTCTTGAGGGCCTGCACTGCCTCATCGTGGGTGGCAGAGGACAAGTCTTCACCGTTCACAGACAGGATAGCATCCCCCACAAAGAGGGCCTCTGTCTGGTCAGCTGCCAGGCCCTTGAAGATCTTGGAAATGAGAATAGGCATCTTGTTCTCCCGGCCCCCTGCATAGACACAGAAGGAGGTAGAAACTGAGGCAGAGGTGTCAAGGCTTGGGAGTCTCACAAGTTGAGATTACTTCTTTAGGGCTCACTCAGTGCCCAGCCCAATGCTGGGAGAGAAGAGATTCTCATAGAGACTTAGAAGTTTGGGATACTAGACTTACTGAAACATATTTTATAAATTCTTTTTTTTTTTTTGCCAATCCTGGGGTTTGAACTCAGCTTGGGCACTGTCCCTGAGCTTCTTTTGCTCAAGGCTAACACCCCACCAATTAAGCCACAGAGCTACTTCCAGCTTTTCCTATTTATGTGGTACTGAGGAATTGAACTCAGGGCTTCATGTATGCTAAGCAAGCACTATACCACTAAGCCACATTCTCAACCCCTATACATTTTTTTTGGGGGGTGGGGGTTGGTCATGGGGCCTGAACTCTGGGCTGGACACCGTCCCTCAGCTCTTCAGCTCAAGGCTAGAGCTCTACCACTTGAGCCACAGAGCCATTTCCAGCTTTTTCTGCTTACATGGTGCTGAGGAATCAAACCCTTCCCAGCCCCTTTTATAAATTCTTAATGCTCTACTTTGGGCCCTGGGTCTTTTGAGGCCAATGATTTAGGTGTTTATCAATAATTGAGTAACTTTCAAAGTGCTTCAAGAACTTTTCCTTAAATATTTGGGATTTTTAAGTCATTCCACCACAACATGGGAACCCACTGACATGCCCCAATCTGGAACTAAAGTAGAAGTCATAGCCTACTAGGGGCCCTAGAGACTTCTTCAGCAAGCACAAAATTTTACAGCCCAGGATCTAGACTGGAAACTAAGGCCTTAAATTCTAGAGGTTTAAAATGTTCATCTTGGGGCTGGGAAGGTGGCTCAGTGGTAGAGTGCTTGCCTTGCATGCCTGAGGCCCTGGGTTCGATTCCTCAGCACCACATAAACAAATAGAAAAAAGCCAGAAGTGGTGCTGTGGCTCAAGTGGTAGAGTGCTAGCCTTGAGCTGAAGAGCTGAGGGACAGGGCCCAGGCCCAGAGTTCAAGCCCCATGACCGGACCCCCCCCCAAAAAAATGTAAAAAGTAAATAAATAAAATAAAATGTTCATCTTTTCTGTATCACTGATGCACACACAAAATAGAAAAAAATCCATTTTATATAACTGCTTTATTGCTAAATAATAATAAATAAATGCCTCTTTAAAATAACTAGTTCACACTAATTTCAGCAAGTGCTGAGCATGTTGCTAAATGCTTCCAAAGTTGTCTCCTTGCCTCTTTACAACACATCATCACACTAGCACACTGTTTCCTACCAGGGAAACACAAGTGCAGAGACAAGCCCCTTGTCCAAGGTCACTCAACTAGTAAGTGGCAATACCAGTAGTGGAACCTAAGTCTCCTGGCTTCAGAACCAACACTGAGCCCCTCACAGAGCCCACTCCTGTCTATCCTCCCAGTTCAGAAGATGAGGAACTAGAGTAGGAGGTCATTGCTCCAAGGTTATACAACCAGCTGATGGCACAGCTGGTATTAGGGAGAGTTTCCTGACTCATACAGGCCCAACAGTTTGCTCATGACTTCAGGCCTAAAAGAGGAAGGGATTCTGGCTGGGAATGTGGCTTAGTGGTAGAGTGCTTGCCTAGCATTCATGAAGTCCTGGGTTCGATTCCTCAGTACCACATACACAGAAAAAGCCAGAAGTGGCACTGGGGCTCAATGGTAGAGTGCTATGGTAGAGTGCTAGCTTTGAGCAAAAGAAGCTTAGGAACAGCACCCAGGCCCAGAGTTCAAGCCCCTTGGACTCTTGCTAGACTCTAGAGGGGAGGTTACCTTGGCAACAGAAGCCCAGTTCCCATCCACAAGGAACTGGATGGAGTTGGTACTTTCTCTGAAGTCTCCTAAATATATCATCATACCCATCTACAAGTATGGATGTAAAAATGAACTATGTGTAACCTTGGAAGATGCAGCTCCTCTAGGAGTCCATCTGTTCATCTGCCAAATGCAATTCTATATGTTCTCTGTTCCTTCCTGCTCTGATACAATTTTTTGGATTGGTCTTTTGCTGTACCCTAGAGTTTGAGGGTAAGACTGTTATCTACTTCCTGTTTTCCCCATTTCCTCCTTTAGCCATTCAGAGTTAGCTGCCTGGGAATTGCTCTGCCACTGAAAAGAACCAGCCACTGGGTAATCTCAAGGTGAACAGTGTTGTGACAGTGAAGATTCAAAATCCCAGTCCTGCCACTCACTCTGTGACCCTAGGAAAAGCATTTTCCCTTATCGAGTCTGTTTCTTTGCCTGAAAAACAGGCAAAGATTATACTCCCCACCTTTCGCCACTAGTTGCCAGAATGAAGCAGAGCCAACTGCACCTGGCACACAATGATGGTATTCACCACCATCACTGCCCCCCCCCACCCTTTACCTGGGCCAGAGTCTAGAGCACCAGTAAACACAGCAGGCTCCCACAGAAGTCCTGGGAGGGGACTAGCACATTGCAGGTGATAAAGGGCTGACACCCTTGACATGCAAATGGCAGGAATAGTGAGCAGCTGGGGTGTGCAGAGGTTTAAGCTTTGTTAGTCCCTCCTGTCCTCCATTTTCCCCCTCATCTAATGGTGATAATTAACCAAGCACCTGCTGGCAGGGCAAACCCTAGTTCTCACAGAAACATTTATCAACCAGATTTCAGTTAACAGATTCAGAGATGGGGAAAATGACATCCAAGTTCATATAGTGACTGACCCGCAACTCAAAACAGTGTGACTGACTGCACCCTAAAGAGGGTCATTGAGGGGGAGAAGGAGGGTGATTAGGAAAAGTGACGAGGTGACATTGTCCAAAAAAGGAAATGTACTTATTAACTTATGAAATGGTAACCCTTCTGTACAACAGTTTAATAATAACACTAAAATTATTTTTGTTAAGAAGGCCATGGGTCTTAGGGTCCCAAAGCTCTCAAGAAGGAATGGCAACTCTGGGGTTCATCCTGTCCATTCTACGCTTAGTGGAAATGGGCAGAGATGGGAAGACTCCTGACGTCAGTGGTTGGGACTCTACCCCTGGGCTCAGGAGCTTCAAGAGTCTGGGTCCTTGCTGGTCCCTTATCTGTGACCCGGCCTACGCTCCACCCACCTCTATCCACCCCGGTGCTTCCCAGACTTCAAACCCTGACACTCACCCCAGGCACCCTGGTTGCATTTCAGATACTTCTGGTCCTAACAGTCAGTGTCCCAGGTCTCAAATCCTCCTCCCTCTCCCCAACTCCACCCCAACCCATCTGCTTTTTTTTTTCTGGGTGGGGGCCACTCCCAGACTCCCATGCCCCCAAACAAAACTGCCCCCCATGCCCTTGGTGCGACCTCACTCCCTCCATTCCTGAGCCTTCGATGCCCACCCCGAGATCTCAACTCCGGAGAGCCGCTCCGACCTTGGCGCTCGGCGTGCTCTCCGCGCCCTCCATCGCCTCAGATCCCCCAGGCCCCGGACAGAGGGCCTTCAACTCCAACTTCCCGGTGTGCCCTGGCGGCCCCCAGACACCAGGACCTTGCGCCCTCCACGCCCCGCGCCCACCTTTAATGCTGATGCCCAGCCCGCCGGCGTCGGCCTTGCG